TTTCCTTCACCGTAAGAACGTCGGGTTAATTATGTACATATGAAAATTTGAAAAATAGAAAATCACATGGGTACATGGCGGGATTCGAACCCAAGACCTGTAGATTACAAGTCAAGTGTTCAAACCACTGCGCCACCGGACACCGCCACCGCCTCAGTTCATCTACTTCTTACTTATTTAATATTATAAATGCAAAAGTTTAGATGGATGGATGTTTGTTAGAGTTTGTAGCCTAAACGGCTGAACAATCTTGATGATATTTGGCATAGTAGAGGATAGTCTAGAGGAACATATAAGCTATTGTTCTTTTTAAAATCCACGCTGACGGAATTTGAATATATTTGTATCGCATTTACTTTAATACACTCGTACTGTACAGCTTTAGTGAATGCTAAAGTTCCTCTCAAGTTGAGAAATTACACAAAAAGTTTGTTCTACTAAAAGATTAAGATAAAAGTTTGTAACTTGTAGCATTAACAATTTGAATGTTAAATTTTTGAACATGCACCCGCACGGTAGGGTCGTGATGGTGCATATAAGTGATTTTTTTTATTATCTTCGCGTAATTTTTAATACATTAAGTCGGTAATAAAGAAGGGCAATAAATCGCGAAAGTGCGCACCCCTGTTCGCGACGTGTATGGGGTCTTGGACGGGGGTGAGTTATCCCCATCGGGTTTCGGACTGCGGGAAGGGGAGCGACTTATTTACCTTGACAGTGAAGCGGACGAACGCTTTGTGAAGGGATGATAATTGTCATGTCCACGCTATTGTCCACTGCGATCGTTTAAATGAGGTCCAATGTTGCGTTGTTTGTAAACTGGTCTGCGATATTTATAAGTGCATAATATGCTTGTTATAGCTTACTGAAAGAGATTTTAATAAAATGTATTTATAAACGTGAATGTTTACTAAAATGACAAAACAATAGTTGTCCGTATATTGTTTTCTGAAATAAATTTATTTTGTAGTTAAATTAACTACACTAATGTTAAGTACAGCATGTCAATTTGAATTTTAGTGTTTTAATTTTTATCACTATTTCGTAGCCGTATCGCAGTTTTATATACCACAGTCATCCCTGAGGGCGATCCCCCCTCCGCGTGATGAATCCCCACTTGCACTGAACTACACAACAAACCTACTGCCCTACAATGCTACTTGATTTTGATAACTTTGACATAGATCAAAGTTAGCTAAATATCAAACAATTTTTTTTACGTTGAGTATGATTTCTGTGAGTTGAGTTCTATTATTTTTTTTCTTTTTATTTAGACTTGTGTAGCTAATGAATTAAATTTAAAGTTAATTTGTTTTTTTTATTTTCATAATAATGTAACATTTTTATTGTAATTATTCGTAATTTCTATAATCCTATTAAGTATTTTCCCATTGATATATGGTGAAGATAAAAATGAACAAATTTCTCGATCCATGAAAACGTTATGCTCCGGCGCCATATTTACAGGACATCGGATGAAAAGCGCAATCGCTCCCTACCACTTGTCTCTTTCACATCTCAAGTCCAGAACTCGATCCCTTGTCTTTCCTTCTCGCTCGCGCGATAGTGGGGGAGAAGTGTGGCAACGTCGCGCGCACTACTGATAAGTTTTGTGTTCTGTGATATTACAAAATGCGCGCCACTTTGCCTTTATTTGTTCCTTATTCTCTATTTAGTAGTTTGTTCAAATTTCTATTGACTATTTTGAGATATATTCAATCTGTAGTTTCTAACAATTGTGAATGTAGAAACGCGCGTTATTGTTTAATTTCGTACTTAATTGCGTAAGAGTCATTTTTTCTTGACATCCTTGATAACAAAATGCATTTTTTTTTCAGTTCAATTTCGGATTGAAAATGTTTTTACTTGTGTAGTCGCCTTATCGTATAAAAATCGATGTTTATCTGAAGATTTCCACTTGTGTCAATAAATGACGTATAATACAATTAGGTGTTTTTAATGAGTCATTGAAATTTAAAACGATTTGAACGATTTTTTTTAAAATAGGTTAAATATCACAATGTTGAAATACAATATACTCATAAGACTGTTGGGATTATCTGGATAAAGGAACAGTAAATAAGTTTCCGAAGGGAAATCTTAAAACTTAAGTTGAAGTAGGGGCGGTAATAATAGTCAACAAACTTGATAAACTACGTCAATTTTTACAGTACTACTTTATTTATTTGATATTTGTAATTACCTCTAGTTGTCCCTGAATATCACCAGCAACGTATCCTTTATCCCAGAGAGGGTCCCAGGATATCTTTATCCCAGAGAGGGTCCCAGTATGTGCTCTTTCATAAATCTCTGCCGAATATTTGAATTATCGCTCTTCTTAAGCATATCCACACACAATTCATACTTTCTTCGGTCTTCCTCTGCAGCCATAGTTGTATCTGTCTATTACATGTAATTACAAATTCTCACCACGTGTGGTCACCCCGAATTTGATATCGGTAATAATTGCGCGCGCTGAATATTGTTATTGGTTAGTCAGTTCGACCTTACAATTCAAGGTTAGATAATTTGAAAAATATCAAAGGAATTCATTTACAATGTTGCTAATCTTATTTAATAAAAAAATAATGTCTTTATTAAAGAGATCTAAGGATTTTTAGTTACAAAAAAATAGCGAACTTTAAAGGTGCTTCCCTAAAGCCTTTTACATCTAATAGTTTTACATTCGATTTATTTCGATATCTGTATACTGTTTGTTATATCTCTTGTTTGCTAAATTTATATTTCTACGTTAATTTTTTCTGCGTTTGGAATTATTTGTAGGATTTCTGACATTGTGTTCTATTTCGCATTTCACGTAGCAATAATTGATTATAAGTTATGCTTAGTAGAATATAAGTATTTATTAACTTGCTAATGGTATACTTAGTACTTAGTACTTAGTACTTTGTAGCATTGTGTAGCTCACCGATGTTGTTTTAATATTTCCCTATTGTTCTAAAGCTAAATATTTTCCTTTCTTATCTTAGTTTCTAATCGTATCGTAACTGATTGAAAGAAAGATTATAATGTTAGTAATATTGGTCAATCGTCCTAGATATTAAGAGAATTAAAGATGGCTCAACTGACGTTATATATTTTGGTAACGTCACCGAGTAATTGAATCCATCGGGGGTTCAACTTTTAGAGAATTAGTTAGTTAACTAGATATTTCTAGTTTTAAAATACGTTGCCTAAAAGTAATAATTGAATAGCTTTATTAATTACAAGCACTTTATGTACTTCTATCTGTTTCTCTTCACATCCTCCGCGAGAAATTAAAAAGTAATAGAAAAGCCCATGTTACTCTGAGATAAATTACCTTTCTAACGGTGAAAGAATTTTTAAAATCGGCCCAGTAGATTTTACGTTAATCGAATACATAAAAAAATCCAAAAACACAATTTCCTCTTTATATAATACCATTAGTTTAGATTAACTCAAATATTGTACAGTGTGATGTTTGTGGTGTTTTTTTTTTTTTAATAAATTGATATTGTGTTATGTATGTTATAGTAATTTTAAATTTCTTACTGCCTACGTCTAAATCGGGCCGAATTATTGATGTTGGATATTTGGTATACTCCATTTCAAATTATGACCATACGAAATGACATGTTTTAATGTATTTTTAATTTGATATCGATATATTAGTAAAGGAAAGTTTATGTAATGATAACGTATGTTGAGACACGATGACAGGCCTATGCGTTGTCACTTGGTCTCTATCTACAACATTGTATCGCACCACCTTTTAGATAAGATTCCTGTTGTTAAGTCAACTTAATTAGATGATTATTTCTATCGTTAATGATAAATTATTGCAAATATCACCGACATAGTGAAATAAAATCACCAATCTGCTTGAAAATTGAAAAATTCTACAACGAATTTTCACAGTAATAATTCGAGTTTTGTTGAATTTATATGAAATTAGCTTTCGCCCGCGTGGAATAAAAAAAAACAAAAGGGAGTACCCTATGTGTTCTTCCAGACAATCGTCTACATCTATACCAAATTTTATCGATATCCCTTCAGCCGTTTAGGCTACAAACTCTAACAAACATTCATCCATCGAAACTTTCGCATTTATAATATTAAGTATGATGATATTACATTTGTGTTAATAAATGAACTGAATCATTTGAAAATTGTGATTGTTTATCACAACTAATTTATCTAAAGTTATAACCTTATTCTAGTTTCATTAAAACGCCCACTGCATTGTTTTGTTATGATTTAAATGTTGCCTAAGTTTGTGACAAAAATGCGATGTTATTTTTTATTTTACAATAAAATTAGGTATATTATTTTATACGTATATATTATTACATAATAAGATTTTATTTTAACCTGACTACATCAAGTATATAGATACGTCAAGAAAGTTTTAACCTAATTCATTTTATATTTCTTTAGGGAAACTCCGCCGGAGTAGATCATTAATAACGGAGAGCTTTATGCCGACCATTAATTAGCGTTTAGGATGAGACCACCTAACCGTTCGAGCTCGTTCAGCTGAAAATTAAAACGAAAAAAAAAAGTTGTGTACAGAAACTTTAACCTCATTATTGTAACGTTCGTGTACGCGCAACGCTCGACGCGCAACGAGAATTGGCAACGTCGCTTACGTTGGTAATGTTGCCAGTCATTATAGAGCTTTCATAAGCAACGTTTTAGGGTAATTAGTTCTAAACAAGATTTTTATAATTACTATTAATTAAAAAGTTCTGTAGAACATTTTTTACGTCTATTAATAACAATGGAAATTTGAATGTTACTTTTAGAATTGACTGTTATAATCTAGAAAAACAATTTTATGTTTATTATTTTCACGTTATTAATTAAAATAATCGTAAAACAATTTTTATCAGTTTCTGTATACTATTGTCGTTCTATGAATACACTAAGATTCTATTACATTATTTGTGTTGTAGGGAGTTTGTGTTGAGAATGGTAACCCCATGCGTTGAGTGAACGGCGGTCGGCCATGGCGCGGCGCGCCAGTCGCTCGCCGCCCGTTGAGCGCATGCACAGTACTATCGGAGGCGGGAGAAAATATCGCGAAGTTAGTGTCTGATGTAAGAGAAGTGCAGTGTTTAGTATCAGGATAGTGTTGATACAACTGAGGCATTGTCTCGCTGTGTTTACGTTTCGTTCAACGATTGTTCCGCGAACGTTGCGATTAACTCAGATCGGCACAACGAAGTACCGATCTTTGTTTTGAATAAAAAGTTTTCCTATGCGGTTCTATGAATCGCTAGATGTAAGTACACTGGCTTACCATAGCATTAGTATTATTTGAATGGATTTCTATACAAGATTCTATTACAAACTATATTTAATTTAAATGTAATTTTGAATGGAAGGAGAACAACAATAGATTTAATACCTATTATTGTATTTAAAAGTAACTTGAACAAGTTTTGACTTTGAGTTGGAAAACTTTTCAAAAGTCGAAGTGTAAGCTATAACTTACTTTTACGAAAGTTTCATAAGAATTTTCCTTGCCGTTTTCCAAGAAACCGGGCGATAATAATTTCTTTGTATCATTGTAGGCGATAGTTAAGTTTTTCTTGTGTCATTTAGAAGTATACTTTAAACAAGAAATTATTTAAATTCATCTTATTGTAACAGCTAAATGTAAAGTACAATTAAATGAATAAATTAGCGAGAAGAAATGCTTAATTGGGCTTATTAAGATAGAGAACTTCAGCCAAACATATTAAACAAAAGCTAGTCGTAGAATTGAACGCGGAACTTTTTAAATAGACACTAACCACTGAGCCGTGTAGTGGTTGAATAGTATCTAGAAATATTAAAATGTGTATAAAGATATGTGTACTGCGTACGTAATGTTTGACAGAATTGCCTTTGTCTAGTTAACTGGACAATCACGATAAAGACGTCAACTGACGGCCGACTGTTGAAACGACATTTAGTTATGTAATAACGTCTTGAATTATAATATTTTTCTTAAACTCCAAATTTCATTATCATTTTGACGTATGCCAGATTATAAGCGGCAATTATCACAATTATCACGACTAGTTTTCACCCACAACACCGTCCGCGTTGAATTAAGAAAAACGAAAGTGAGCAACCTATGTGATCTTCCAGGCTATCCTCTACATCTAGGCTATCCATCCATCTAAACCTTCTGGCTGTCTTTTTAAACATCTTATACGTGTTTATATTAATGTAAACAAATCCGTGAGCCGGCATAGTTAACTGTAATCAGTTGCGGAAAATTTGCATGCCCTTGTAGTAACCATATGTGTAGGTTTTTAATCGTAAACAATGTTCTTTTCCATATGACAGGAAAGAAATTAATCATTCCCTTTTAAAATACACATTTTCGTTATTTTATCATACTTTCACACTAATATTATAAATGCGAAAGTTTAGATGGATGGATGTTTGTTAGAGTTTGTAGCCTAAACGGCTGAACGGATTTCGGCGAAATTTGGTATAGATGTAGACGATATTCTGGAAGAACATATAGGCTTCTTGCTTTTGTTTTTTTTTTTAATTTCACGCGGACTGAGTCGCAAGCGAAAGCTAGTGTTGAAATAATTTTCTCCTGCTCCGTCTATCGATCGAAAAATAAAAGCAAATTAAAAAAGGAGCATTTTTCCTTAAAGTACTCAAAGTGACATTAACCCCCCCCACTGCCACGCCCCCGCCTCTCCCCCGTCAAACTTTGTCCGTGAAAAGTTGCGTACTTTGAGATGGTTTAATTGCCTTCTTACGGTCGCTGGCAGTCAAATGATGCTCGTTTAAGATGTTTGATTGTGCAAGGGGAAGATAAATCCATTAATTATTACATTTGAACCCTTTTATTTTATTCTCACAATTAACACTTACAAATACTGAGACCACAATTTGGAAGACCATTTTAGTGGAATTTGGAGTTTAAATGTAACTCATCTGTCAGTGTCAGTTTTGAACTATCTGAGCCTCTATCAGCCAGTGGGACAGACTCTAAATCACGTGAATTACTACAAGAATCATCCTATGAAGTAGATTATTGGTTGGAGTAACCCATGACCATAGGGTCTACCACTTAATAACTGTGAACTTTATCCAAATTCAAATAAATTTAGGGATTAAAAAAAAGGTTTTGTATTTCGCGAAAACTAAGCTTAGACTTTTGAAAATCAAATAGGTTTTTAATCGATCTCATTACTAGTTAATGCTACTTTATATGAGTAGGTAGGGCAATTACCGTAACTTATATGAGAGAAGGGAATTTTGCAATAGTAACAGTTGTAAGGCATCGCGTATTGCAGAAGTCCACGTACGTAATCAATGAGTGGGCGCGTCCTACAGCCCAGCGGTGGCCCAGCGTTAACCCACGTCAGTTACACCGTTTCTTTGTTGAATACTTTATATATGTTGCGAATTAAATCGATCTTAAGCAATTAATGATGTAGCAAGCAATCTAACCTTCGATTTGCATGTGTCTTTTATGTCTTGTTTTATTAAAGTTGTGGTGATGTGGGATCGGAAGGAATACCGTAGATTAGGTCTACGGACTGCTTACTGAACGTAAGTCTTCCTTTAAAGTCAGGGTACAGTCGGTATTCAATTGGACAGCAAATAATACCTTTCTATAATATTATCTGTCTCACAAAATACTGTTGATAAAACTAACGTCTTAAATATGTATAATAAATATCGAATGTATGTTTGAATTGAAATTTAAAAGCATTAGACGTTCATATAAACATTATAACCAAACTTGGATTGAATATTAAATGACATTTTGTTCTTGATAACGTGACTTGAATATAGTACTAGTAACGATGGTACTTCCTCAGCATTGTAAGACACGAATCGACAGCGCGATGACTTAATTAAAACCTTTTTAGTATTATTTAAATAAGTTTGAATCTGATATTTTAACTGTTTGTATGAACTTCTTGCATCTTCTTGGGAATCCGCAACTTTATATCCCACCATTGTAGACTTGCACTAAGTCATAACTTGACGTTTTTGTCCTGAAATGTTTCATCAATCGACATAGAAACTATTAAAAACTAGATTTCGCCCGCGAATTCGCGTGGAATTAAAAAAAAACAAAAGTGAGTAGCCTATGTGTTCTTCCAGACTATCCTCTATATCTATAACAAATTTAATCAAAATCCGTTTAACCGTTTAGGCTACACACTCTAACAAACATCCATCCATCCGTCTATCCATCAATCCATCTAAACTGTCGCATTTATATTAGTAACAGTGGTAGTGCCCGCTTTAACATCTTAGCACGAATGGGCCGGCACGCCCGGTGTAATACCACGACCACACAGAAGACAGGCGTGAAATGGAAGCAATTCCGTGTTTCGTCTGATGAGTGTGGTGCCGGAGGCCTAATTTAAGTCCCTTTCTCTTTACCACCCTTTTCTTTTAAGGAGAGGTTGGGAAGAGGAAGTGGATTTGACGGTGGAGGAGATGCATAGGAAGGGGAAATATTCTCTTTATGTCTTCTCCTCCGTCGTATAAGGGTAGGCAACGCATCTGCAATTGTGGATGTCTATGGGCAGCGGTCCCTTCGCCATTTTGGTGGTTTCTGGTGGCCGCTTGCTCGTTTGCCACTTTATATTATAAAAAAAAAAAGTAAGATTATGTTTTTTGATTATTGATACAAAGTCTTAGTCCGAATTTGAACCTTTGACCTAATTGGCTATACTTTGTGCTGTTACTTATACGACATTAAGTAGTAAATAAATATTCCATTCGCGTGTCCGTCGACGACGCTGCGTCTACAGCCGATAGACAAACAATATGGGATACTTTAAACCCAACTTCAATGTATGATTGTTTAATCAAAGTTTAAATTATTCTTTCAAGGAGGAACGAGTTACCAGTTTTTAGGATAATTATCTTACTATTGTAAATACAAAAGTTTGGGGATGGATGTTTGTTAGAGTTTGTAGTATACTGCTGAACGAATCTCAATGAAATTTAGCATAGATGCAGAGGATAGTCTGGAAAAACACACAGGTTATTTTTGTTTATTTCACGCGGACGGAGTCGCAAACGAAAGCTAGTTTAATGATCATTAAAAAACATGGCTAAAGTTTTGCAGTGTCTATAGAAGTATCGAAAGTAATATTAATATTTGACTTTTAACTGCCATCTGTTCTCTGTTATAATAATAATCAGAGAATTTGTAAATATACCTATAAAATCTAAATGTATGCCAGTAATTTTTTAATTTAAAATTGAGACTTAGTTTGATGTTATTGACCCATCGTAAGTTATCACTCCATCTTATTATAAAGAAGAAAGGTTTGTATTTTTGTATGTATTGAAATAACTCAAAAACTACTTGGCCGTATTTCAAAAATTCTTACACCATTAAACAGCAACGTTATGACTGAGTAACACAGACTATGTTTCTTCATTGTTTTTTTTAATTCCAATCAGAAGTCGCGAGCAACAGCTAGTTTTATCTAAATCCGCCGTCAAATTGATCACCGCATTCAAATACCGAATGTCACATGATCGATTAACCCGTCCTAACACCTTCCGGTTTCCCATCGGATGTACAATAAGATGCACTGCTTTATGCTTTTAGTAGGGCAAAGCTCTCAGAGGTGTCGGGTTCGACCGGTAACCCGACCCACGAGCCTCGATACACTTCCGCTCACTTAGCATCCGGCCTTTCAACTTGGTAGCTTAATGCATAAGTAATTTGCGACACGATTACACTAAGATAATTTTGTTTGTGATTGCACGTGATTGAAAAAAAAAGTTAACTTTTATTTTCTATGCTATTATAATAAAGCGTAAACAAACACTACTTTGTGCCGTAAGATGTCAGCAATCACAGCATATTTTTGAATTATACTTCCTTCAATAAAAAGTCCTACACTTTGACACGCTTTAGGCTATATATATTCACGCTATAAAACTTAGAGGGTAAATTATTTGGAAAAAACCTTCTAGTGGAAAAGGGACCATAAACTACAAGCTGCCAACATCAAGGAAGCAAGGTTGTCATTTGAATTTTGATATTTGACAAATATAAGCAATAAAGTTATTATAATTTCAAGCAGATTAAGCCGCACGGGAACAGCTAGTTAAGATATTAAATTGATAGCAATATCAGCTTATGGTCAATACTAAGTATTAAGTTGTTTTCTTTAGAGGTTTGATTTAAATATTTGATGAAAATTAAAACACAACTATTACATCTCTTCTTGTCATCTTTAATGCTTAAATTATATACGTTCTCATTTGTTTTAAATCAAATTGATT